AGATGGAGTCCGAGATGGACCCGAGATGGACCCGAGATGGAGTCCGAGATGGAGTCCGAGATGGAGTCCGAGATGGAGTCCGAGATGGAGTCCGAAGTCGAGACCGAGACCGGGACCGAGACCGAGACCGAGACCGAGACCGAGATCGGGACCGAGACCGAGACCGAGGCCGAGGCCGAGACCAAGCCCGGGCCCGAGTCCGAGTCCGAATCCGAATCCGAGTCCGAGTCCGAGTCCGAGTCCGAGTCCGAGTCCGGAGCCTGAGAGGGTGAAAGCCCAAAGCGTTCGTCTCCCAGACCCTGGGGGGTTTGGTGAGCTCCAAAAGTATAGTAGGGGGGAGGACTGCAGTGGAGCCAGTTTGGCCAGGAAAGGCCAGTTTGGCCCAGGAAGGCCAGACCCAGTGTTGGGTGATGAACTGACCACTGGGAAGTCCAAGACTAGAGTGAATACGGACCGACAAGCGGGGTACCTTGGTGAAGTGTTCAAGAGCCGGCTCTAGTTCCCCCGGGAGATCGACTGGCCGATGCTCCCAGTCCAAGTGCGGGTGGCACTACCTACTTGGATACCAGGCGTGGCTCAACGGAACCTCGCTCTAAGCCCATGGCTAGAGCACCCAAGGGCAGAAGGCGGGGAGAGTACCCAGGTGGCTCGCGTAAGGCCACGGTGTTCCGAAATGTTGTCCCAAAGGCTCAGACTGTGGAAAGGAAGAGGAGTAGTCCTCTGGGGTAGTGACCAAGGACACAGTCGTGTGGTGAGGAAGTTCCAGAGGACCGTGGGACTTAGTGGTGGGGCCTGTGGGCCTCGATCCAGTGGCAGTGTTGGCAAACACGGCCAGGGGCAAAAAGGGACTTAGGGGGGACTGACAGAGGGACATTGGGGAAGGCTGTTCCCCGTGTCGGTGGGCATCCTAAGGATGCTAAGGAGTGGATCTAAGATGACCACTCACAGATGGTTGGCCCAGTCTTGGAGAGCCAAGACTGTGATGCAAGTGGTATTGGACTACAGTGTGGCAAAGGTGATCGGGCATGGCCTTAGCGTAACGGGCTGCCATATCGGTGGTACCTTTGAGTGTCGGTCATGGGATCGGACACGTGGAGCACTTGGACCAGGTGCCAACGTTGAGTGGCATGGATGCCATTCCTGGGGCTAGCAAGCCCCAAGTCCTGAATTGGACTTATGGAGGTTGTGAATGAGACTCCTCCAAGTGGTCGAAGGTGTGGTTAAGTGACTAAAGTAGAATGGAAAATTTAGTCGCTTACAACTAACTGCTGCTCTAGAGTCAAAGGACGAGGAGGCTGCTGCTCTGCCATGAAGATAAACAAAAAAGAAAGCACAAAAGAAAAGAAGTTGAGAAAAACAATAGGAAAAGGAAAATCTAGACAATGCAAAAGTTAAATTTACACTAAAATTCCAAAAGTAATAAGAAAATGAAAATATAAACAATGCAAAAGCTAGATCTAAATCAAAATCCCAAATTCTAGCATTTATTAGGGACAATTAAAATTACCTCTCACCTCCATCAATATAAGTGTATGGAATATGGAAAGATAATATAAAAAATGTGCATATCAATCAGCCCAAAAACCCTAGCTTATATACAAGAGTAAGTGGTCTAGATTAAAACCAATCTAATGGCAACTAAAATCCCATAACGCTAATATTAGTATATGGAATCGTAATTGTACAGTTAGACTTCACACAAAGTTATATTCAAAAAAAATTCTTATAATTTTATCATTTTGTTTCTTTATTTAAGTTTAAAATTCAAATTTAACATGTTATATTTATATAACTCAAATTGTAAAAATGGAGTTTTAAATTCAAGCCTTTATCAGATGACTCCGGATGGTCACTCTTTATAAACATTATATATCATCTGTGTTCTGGAAGTTTAGAATAGGGGGCCTAGTATACTTTTTTTGTTGTTCATAATTTGCTCCATACCCTTACATATACACATTTTTTCAAATCTTAAATAAACCCTCAATTCTTATATATACATAGAATATTCTGTTACTTTTGCATAAAGATGTAGAGGATGGGGATCAAAAGAAGCCTGTGGGCTTCATCAGGGTTCATACATACATAATAACATCACACTTCATACCTATTGTGCCTGAGATCTATTGCCCTCTACAACTTGTTGCTGTAGAGAGCCCTAGATGAGCTCCGCCTCCTCCCTTACCCGTACGTACGAAAATTTTCAAATTAAACTCAATCCTGAGGCTTGTATGTATATGTAACGGTTTGCACCCAAAATAACCCTAATCCGTACACACAGATGATATATACGGTTATATAAGAGTGACCACTTCGAGTCAGATGATTGCATGTATAAATAAATAAAGGCTATAGAAGTATAAAATAATTAATAAAAACTGGTCTAAATTTTTAAATTTTTATTTATGAAAATTAAAGTTTTTGGGAGAAAAAATAAATATCATTTTAAAAATAAATGTTAGCATAAAAAAAATAGTTCAGAATATAATTACATATTTCTTTATAAAATTAATAAGATAATTTTAGAAAAATTTTAGTTCTTTATTTATTACTTCTTATTGAAGTTATATTACAAATATAAATATTTTTTATAGTTTTATAATTTCAGTTTATTTACACTTCAAGTTCAAAAATTCTAAATTAATATGTTTTATTTATAAAACTCAAGTGGTAAAAATAGACCCTCAAAGCTTTTATCTTTAAAACAATTATATGTTATAAAAGTATACAAAAATACATCAAAGTGGATGCTCGTGAGGATTGCCTGGATGAATTCCACAGCTTGAATAGTCTAGCCTCACCTAAAGCTTTTGGGAATATATCTATGGTATAAGAGTAAAAATAATTATAACAATTTATCTCTATTTTTTAATTTTATTTATGAAAAATTATTTTTTGACAAAAAATTAAAATTCTAAAACTAATTTTATTCTAAAAATAAATATGTGCATAAAAAAACTAATTCAAAAAATAGTTAAATATTTTTATAAAAATTTATAAGGTTAGTTTATAGTAATTTAAATTATTATTTTTAATTAATTTTAACATATAATGACCTTTTAATATGTATCTTTAATTCTAAATTCTTAAATTGTATTATTTTCCTTATTTGAAATCATTGATTAGCTATTATTAGAGGTAAATATTCATGAATCAGTTTTAAAAAGTAATTTTAAATATTTTTATTTTAATATAGTATTTTTAAAATTATTTATTTACATCATAAAAATATTAAAATATTTTTTACTTGCATTATGTATTAGGAGCTATCCAATTTACATTTTATTGTACAAGTTATAGAAACAAAGTTATTTAGATTAGTTTTTACTATAAAATTTTAATTATAAATATATAAACAATCCCTTACTTCTTTAAATGTTTTTAACTAAATATATTAATATTAATGTGTGATATTATTATTAATGATCTGTTAGATGAGCATTATCATTGCAAAACTATAAAAGTTTGTCAAGTGTGAGTTTAGATATGTTAAAATTAATTTTAAAGTTGTGAAGTATTAATTATATTTGTTTGGTAATTAGAGCTGACTTGTAGTAACAATATAGTTTATAGATTTTGTTTTTAACTTTGGAGATATAAATAAAATTATATGCTACAAAAGTTAAATATTTATAATGTGTTTTTTATAAATTTAATCTCAAAGATACTTCAGTCCTTACCCATGGGTAATAGCCTGGATTCATCTCCTATAATAAGTAAAAAATATTATCTAACTTTAAGCTATATTCTTTTGTTTGTTTACATAAAAATATCATTTTATAATACATTCACATCACTTTTGGTGATGTGAAAGTGTATATAGTATGAGTGGGTTTTATAGGCCTTGCCACATCACAAAACCTTCCATATTATTTTGAAAATAAAAAATCATTTTTAAGTGATTTTGTTTTATAAGTACTTTATGGAGAAGTATAAAAGTGTGGTTTTGGTACACTTTATGAATGTTTAGTGTGATAATATGTTTGTGAGTAAGGGGCACAACTTTACTACACTAGTATGTATATGAACTTTGAGGAAAAAAATAAAAATTGATGCTTATCATCTAGTTTTGCATTTATTGGGTTGGAATAGTCTTATTAAAATACATATTAACCAATATCCATGTTTGTTTGTCATAGTGTGCATTGGTATTATATTCTTCAACCCACTGCAATAGAGTACCTCATGTTGTGAGTATGCCAAGCATCTCTCAAATTAATTAATTGATGATGCTTCATAGTAAAATTCATTGTTTTGAAATACCTTGCACCAGATTTCCATCCAAAAGTGTTAAATACACTATAAATTTAGTGTTTTTCTACCTAATGGAACACATGAGCTTTAACTAGTTATAAATTGATAAACTAAATAAACACTTCTTTGCAACCTTCTCATACATTTGTCAAGTCCATTTCAATTTTGTTGAACTCATCTGCCCAATGATTAGAAAGAGAATATAATTTCCTTATTAGTGCAAATTTAAAATATAATCATAATCTTCTTGATCCAAAAGTACAACATTACTTTCTTGAGTGTCATATTCTAGATCATGATTACCACTATCCCACTCCTTAAAAAATATGTCACCACTTAACTACCATAATGTTGTGTATAATAGCATAATCTATAATGCAATTTGACTACATATACTTATTGCATTTTTAATTGACTAATCACCTACAATCTTAGTATATTGCATATAGTTGTAGTTGAAATAGTTGTCTTTGACAAACTTCACTAAAAATGAAGTGAGCATCCCTACAGTAATACCATCTACACAATACCTTCCTTGCTATCACACTCACTCTCCAAGCTCACCAGTTCATCCTCCACACCATAACATTTGGGGCATTTTAGAAAACCAAAAATGTGACTTGGATATCCCCTTCTGGACAGTTAAGCATGTTGATATCAAAGCACCGTGACACTAGTTTTACATGCCATTGAGACTGATTGATCGTGACCTCATTCAGCCTGGAATGAAAATGCCAAAGAAAAGATTTCCTGGAAGAACTTTGAAATTTATCTATCAAGGATTTTTATCATGTTCCTCAGGTAGAACACATATCCCATCTCAACTCCACTCTTTGACTTGGCCACACAACTTGCAAGCATTGATAAACTCGTTGTTCAGAGTGCTGGGCGAGATGTTTGAGCTTCTCACCACTGTCAATCTTTGGGATGTCTGCTCCAGATCCATACTAATTGCCCGTTGATATGGACCCAGAGAGCACTAAAAGCGCTCTCTTTTCCTTTGTCGATCTTGAAAAATTAGCTAAGCCGTGAGAAGAAAAGAGAAGAAAAACAGACATACTTCGATGAATTCATATCCCGGTGCTTCAAGTAAGTCGTGTAGATCTCACCATGGATCATGAGCGCATCCGTGACATTGGTCGTTGGTGATAAGTTCTCCACACACATAGACACACTTGACCTTATAAAATACACGGAGGAAGGAGATACCAAACAGGGCTTGAGCTGGATTCGATACTGGGACGAGATATTTGCACCCACTAAGTTTGTGCAGCTTATGTGATCCTCATTGCCACACGTCGGGATGTCCACGGGAAAATTATTGACCAAGAAAAGCAGACTTTTTATGAATGGGCGGAGACGAAGACAGTCCCATGACGTGGGCTCCATTGGAAGTGCCAAAAACGCTACGGACTAACCCAAATATGCCGTATCTACACCAGTTCCCGTGCTCCTGGGACGCGCTGTTCTTCCGAAACACTTCTACAAGTACATGGGCAGCCGCTATACGGAAGATGCCAAGGCGAATCCCATACAGATTCCGACAAGAGGGAGGATTTCACTGTGCCGTTGATGGAGGAGGACTTTTGGAAGATTCTTCCGGATGCCACCACCTTCAAACTAATTGCGCTAAACATGTTCAATTTTTTATTATTTGTTACAAACCTAGCTAGGTATGGGGTGGCGGGAGCAGCGGGAGGTGGATTTCCCAAGGGGCGTGCGGTTTTACCCGCCTGATCGCGGGTTTGGGCCACAGATTCATGTTCAGGGCGGCTTGTCTTGTGCTAGGATGGACAAGAAGTTGTCTTTCAATCTGGTGAGCATTGTTGATTGAGTTTGCTGTTCTCAAAGGTGATCGCTGCAGAACTTGTTTCAAGAATTGCAAGTGGGAGATGAGAAAATCCACGTTATTGTATCGGATGGCTATCGTGGAGCCCGACATCCACGTAAGTCATTTCTTTCTTACACTGAACTCTCGTCTGGGCTTTGTTTCGCAGTGGCAAGAGACTTGTGTATGTACAGGTTGGGGCTGTTCAACATGTATTTGTCAGACGCCTTTTGCACTGGCAACCTGAAGCGTTCCATTGAAAGTCTCTTCCGCAGGTAAAAGGCTTAAGTTTGTGTGATCCATACATGATGGGTATATCTAGAGTAAAGCAAGGGACGCAAAACAGGATCCAGGGGCTCATGCAAGTCGAAAAAGACGAGCGTGACTGGGAAAAGGAAGACGACGAGGTCGAAAGCATCCACACAATTCGGGTATTTTCTTCTTTTCTGTTTTTCGTATTCAATGTATTTTCTCGTTGTGTCAAGGAGGATGAGTGGCTTCCGGAGATGCACTCGACAGTGATTGCTGTCAAGGGGAATGCCGTAGCAGTCGGCGGGCCTGGCGCTTTCGTAGTTTGAAGGTGAGTGAGAGCTGTATGGAGCTGTGTCTTACGAAAAAGTTTTTGATTTCGTTTCAGTGGCTCACCCCAAAAGATGCTGGCAAAGTGAACGTGGTGGAGGCACCAAAACAACCACGAGACCTGTTTATAGTGGCGACCTTGTCCTTGAAGAAACTAGCCGCTCACGCCATCGAGGAAGCTTCTCGTGGGGATATTGTACAGACAGCAGAGGCTCTCTCAGTATTAGATCCTGCAGACAAGGATTCTACGGTTCTTGTAATCAGCACCCCACTCGACCCAGCTCTTGCCAAGTCAACGTGCTCGCCAGATTAACATCTGATTACTAGAAGAAAAATGTTAGAAATCTTTTCTCAAACTTGCCATGTCGGCCAAATTTGTACGTAATACTCGAAGCCCTTGAGCTTCCAGGGTGGTCGTGAGCCGATTGGATCAGAACAGCCACATGATCCTGTAGACACTTGGTCACAGCTGCTACGTCGAAGGGACAGCCAGTAGGAGACCTCTAATTGCCAATAAACTTTTAGGAGACCTCCAATTGCCAATAAACTTTCCATGTGTTCCCAAGTTACTGACGAAGATCTTCAGTATCCGCATACGAGTATAAAATCATAAGTGACAAACAAATACTTTGTAACATAGCAAATACCTCATAACACAAGCCACAGGGCAATTTACTCAAGCCAAAAATTCTCGAAGTTGGTGCCAGTAGTGCCAGAGCTCACCAGATGGCTCACCATTTGCATCTCACAGTGCAAGGAGAATACATTCAAGAACCCCGCCAAAGTTCCTTTAAAAGCGAGCGGCGTGCTGCTCGTGAATTTGACATAGTGTCAATAGGATTTGTGTACCTCAGATCGCCAGGAAAAGAAGATTCCCATGTATCTAGCTCTTCCACATGCTTGAGTGAAAGAGGAAGAAACGGCTTCAGCTCTGCCACCAACACCTGCACAGCATTTTGCAAGGAAGCAAGGAACGCTGAGAACAGGACCAGTTTCCTTGTTCGTAAGTGCAAGCTGGTTTCTAGCAAAGAAGTAAGAACGTTGAGAACAGGACCAGTTTCCTTGTTCGTAAGTGCTTCGTTAAAAACCAGCTTGCCCGTAGCCTCCACCAAAATTTGAGCAGCTGTTATACTCATGAGAGAGCACAGACCTAGCAAAGGTTAAGTTAGATCAGAAAGCAGTACTAACCTTTGCATTGTTTAGCCATGGGTTCCACTTTTGGGCCCAAAACGTGGACATGCAGCAATTCCACGTCTTCGTTGTTTATTGCATCTACAATCTGAGAGCTCTTGTCTTTTACATCTTGATCAGATCCTGATTAAACAATATAGTTAGAAGATAAAAAGAATGGGAAAAAAACATGACTAACCATTTCGGTGTCAAGAACCATCGCTAGCAGAGTCATGGTGTTACTCCATACATATGATTCACGTGGAATAGGCGTAGCATCGAAGAGTTGGACAAGATATGCGAATAGAATGAGAGTGCTATAAAAGTCTTCTTGTTCACGGGCTTCTCTCCTTCGAAGCCCTCTAGACAAAACGAAATGTCGATCGCAATCAAGAATGCAGTATTGGTAAACATCACAATCCGAATCGACCAAGAGCGAGCACTTACCTTATCCATCCGGCGCCATAACACAATCTATTTCTCACAGTCGCCGTGGAATATACCGGGAAACAAAGAATATTCACGGCTTTAGAAGATTTATCCGACGTGGAAAGTATTGTTCTTGGTCCATTCACTCTTTGTCCAACTATATTCTTCTTTGCCAATTCTCAGCTCCAGTCTGAAAACACTTATTTTTGCTTAAGTCCACCATTTGTGATGAAAATCCTCAAGCGTCCCCCTTTTGGATTTGTTGGACATCCCCAAGTTACGTTGTGCCTGAAAAATAACAGAACGATGCTTAAGCTTTGTAAGGAATGCTTCAATCTCTATGAGAAGTTAGCAGTAATAAGGGAAAGAAAAGCTACAATCTATACGAGAAGTTCGTAAGGACAATGGAGGGAGCAAAAAGAAAGAGAACTTTCACAGCCATGCACAGGAGAAAATTGGATTGTGAGCTTTACCTGTATATTGGGATTTAGACCAGTGGCGATCCTGCCATTCGACTCAATGCTCCTAGCTGTGCAGCAAAATTCTCCCTTGGACCACTCTGGTGCTGGAACCTTAGCGCCTGGGCCATGCTCAACAAATCATCGATCTGCCATACCAAAACCAGCGAATCATCAGAGGAAGCCGTCCCGATCGATTCCAGAGCTGATCGGCCAAGAAGGCCCATAGACGGCAGTGTCGCCATCGAACGCTCCAGATTCAAATCTTTGGATGGAGCGAATCCACTGTGTGCGTCTCCTGGAGGGCTGTAACACGCTCTCGCAGGCCCAAGAGATCCACGAGCGCGTGCGCCGAGGCATTGGATCGCTCGACGTGTTTGTCTACAACAAGATCGTGGAGATGTACGCGCGGTGCGGCGGATTGGAGCAAGCGAAGCAAGCGTTCGATGAAATCCCGCACAAGAACCCCTTTTCCTGGGTTTTGATGCTCTGCGCGTACTCGCGGAACGATCGCTTGGACGACGCCAAGCGGCTGTTCGATCGGATCCCGGAGCCCGACATCGTCGCGTGGACCGCGATTCTGAGCGCCCACATTCGGAATGGGGCGCAGATCGATCGCGCGCGAGAGATTTTCGATCGAATTCCGGCTCTCAACTCTGTCTCGTGCACGACGATGCTCGTCGCATACGCGCAGAGTGGAGATCTCGAGGAATCGAGGCGGATATTCGACTGGATGCCCGAGAGAAACCTCGTGTCCTCGACCGCCATGCTCGCTGCATATGCCCAAACTGGGCATATCCTGGAATCGGAGCGAATTTTTCATGATATGCCTGCGTGGAATCTCGTGACGCTGAATGCGATGCTGGCCGGATATTCGCAGAGCAAGGATCTGATAAATGCCGAGAAAATATTCCACTCGATGCCCGAGTTCCAGCTCCCCGCCTGGAACGCGATGATGGTGGCATATGCCCACTCTGGGTATCTGGAGCGTACAAAGATACTCTTCGATGGGATACCCGAGCATGACATTATCTCGTACAATACCCTTCTAAACGCTTACGCTGAAAATGATCAGGTAGATTTAGCTAAACATTTTTTTGACAGAATGCCCCAGTGGGATCTTGTCGCGTGGACATCTCTCCTTACGGCATATGCCCAAGAAGGGAATGTTCTAGAAGCTAGGCGTACGTTTGAGAATATGCCAGTCCAGAACCTTGTAACGTGGACCTCGCTGTTGCGGGCTTACACACAAGCCGGCAATGTCAGCGAGGCATTTAGTGTTTTTAGGGCTATGCCACAGTGGCAACTGGCCACGTGGACGTCCATGCTGGCGGTAAATGCCCAGTATGGGCATTTGCAAGATGCCGAGCGATTGTTCTCCCAGATGCCGCTCTGGCACCTGGAATCTTGTACGTCAATGCTAGCGGCGTACGGAGAGAGCGGTGAAGTGGAGAAGTCCAAGTCCACGTTTGACCAAATGCTCCAACACGACGTCGTATCGTGGACTGCTTTGCTGGCTGCATTTGCCCTCTCAGGGCATCTGTTAGAATCCAAGCGGATCTTCGACAATATGCCCGAGTGGAACCTTTTCTCGTGGAACACCCTCCTCGCTGGCTACTCACAGAATGGTTTCTTGAGGGAGGCGTTTTTGTTATTCTTTGCGATGCCGGAGCGGGATTCCATGTCGTGGACGTCGCTCATTGTTGTGTCCTACCGCAATGGGCTTCTCGTGAGGGCCAGGCGAGTTTTCGACATGATTCCCGAGCCAGGAATCGTCTCCAGGAACGCAATGCTCGCGGCCTACTGCCAGAACCTCGAGAGCTGCAGTGACCAGCTCTGTGATCTCTTTGACACCACCAAGATCACGGAATCCCCAGATGATATCTGCTTCGTGCTCCATCTCATTGCCTGCAGTCAAGGAGGGAAGCTCTACGCTGCTAGATCCAGCTTCATATCCATCACCCTCGACTTCGGAATCCCGCACTCGAAGCAGCACTACTGCTGCATGCTTGACACTCTGGGCCGAGCTGGGCATCTGGAAGACGCTCGAGATCTCATCCAGGGAATGCCCTACGTCGCTGAGGCTGTGGATTGGATTTGCTTGCTTGGCGCTTGCAGGAGTCACAACAATCACAAACTGGGGGCTTGGGTGGCAGAGCGTGTTCTTGGTGGTTCTAACATAGAGAATTTGAAACCAGTTTATGTGCTGCTTGTGAACCTATACTCTAGAGGAGATTCTTCCATGTTGGGAAAGTCGCTGAGGAGGCAAACTGTGATTTGATAGAAAGCCTCCAACAAGCCCAAAGATACCAGTTGGCAAGGTGATCAAATACAAATCTTTTTTATAAGGAATGTTTCTTCTTCAAAATGCAATGAACTAGCTAAACGCAATTTTTACAATCATGGAACTGGTAAATGTTCCAGTGAGAGCATTCCAGCTATTTTAGCTATTTTGAAGGCACAAAGCTGGAAAATAACGTGATACCTGTATCATTCTCTTCTCTTGGAGAAGACTACATCCGATCGTAGCACATACTTCACTCCTCTACGGACAGTCTTAGCTTCGTGTAGCATGCATTCATCGCCATGCAGGTGCAGCAAAGCCATCCCTGAAACAGGAACAACCTGCAAATACCTTTTCTTGAGAAAAACCGAAAGGATGGCTAGGCAAACTCACCCCTATTGCTTTGTTTCGGCCAGTGTAAAACACCGTTTCTCCGCCAACAAGTTGAGAGTCCCGCGCTCCCTTTTTGGATTTGATGGCCATCCCCGAGTTTAAGTAGATCAAAAGCGTGTACTCGGTGGCATGATCGGCATCAATTTCTACGCTCTCGTCTACGTGCTGACCAAACCGCTGGCCTTGGTTGTACCTGAAAAATCACAACACTTTCAATCATCGGAGATAGAAATCAAGGAGGAATAGAGTACCACAGCAAAGCAAAGGAAAGATAACTATTTCGATGCTTCAATCTATATGAGAAGCTCGTAAGGAAGCACTAGAGTACCACAGGAAGTGAAAGGAAAGACAATGGTACTTTATTACTCCTTCGCACCATCGAACGCAGGAAAGGAAAGGGAATTATTTTGACGCTTCAATCTATATGAGAAGCTCGCAAGGAAGTAATAGAGTACCACAGGAAGGGAAAGAAAAGCTATGATGAGAAGTTCGTAAGGAAGTGAAAAATGGATGGACTTGGAGGCAGCCAAACGAATGAGAACTTAAAGGAAACTGGATCGTGAGCTCTACCTGTAGAATCTGATGTTGGGGTTTAGCCCTGTGGCGATCCTTCCATTCGATTCAATGCCATCAAACAGCGCCGCTAGGCCCGCATTCCAGAGCTGATCGGCCAAGGCCTGGCTGTGGAGCGAAATTCGATCGTTGTCCCTGAATGCCTCTCCCTTGCTGGGGCCAAGGCTTCCATGGTGCTGGAACCCTAGCTTCTCCGCCGCCGCGACGAACGCATCCGCCTCGGCCGTGCTCAAGACATCATCGATCTGCCATAGCCAAGTAGGGGAATCATCAAAGAAATCCGTCTCAAACGTACCGTGAAGAGATGGATTCCCTTGAGCTCGCGGCGTCGCAACCCGCGCTTGGAGCTCACGGCGGGCCAAGACATTTAAATGCGCATAAACCCTAAAAGCATATTCGACACTTTATAGAGAAAGATCCATAGCTAAAGAATTTTTTATCATGGCCAATCCGCCATTGGCCACTCCATTCGCTGCGAGGATCGCGGCATTCATCTGGAAATTCATGGTGCTTCCATTCATCCTCCGCGGCGACGGCAGCTTCAGCAGGCGCGCGGCCGATTTCTTCGACCGCAAAACCCCAGCAATCGACGCGGAGGGAGTGAGCGCGCGGGATCTCACAATCGATGATCAAGACACCGATCTCTGGGTCCGGATCTTCACGCCGAGCTCCTCCTCGTCCAAGCTCCCCGTAATCTTCTTCTTCCACGGGGGATTCTTCGCGCTTTGCACGCCAGCATCGCCCCATTTCGACGCCCTGTGCCGCAATCTCGCCACGGCCTGCGCAGCGATCGTGATCTCCGTGAACTACCGCCGCATTCCAGAGCACAGGTACCCGGCAGCGATCGACGATGGCTTCCAAGCCCTCAAATATTTCCAGCAGCATTCTTCCAAGAACGCGCTCCTCGATCTCTCCAACACATTCCTCGTCGGGGATAGCGCCGGCGGCAATCTCGTCCACAATCTCAGCTCCAAGCTCGCCCTGGCGCGCGAGGATCTCTCCCCCATCGTCATTCGCGGCCAGGTCCTGATCCAGCCATCCTTTGGAGGCGAATCCCTCACGCCATCCGAGAAGGAATTCGCGGATGTCCCTTTCGCGAATCAGCGATTCTCGGAGTGGCGATGGCGCGCGTATCTCCCACCCGGCGCGAGCAGGGATCATTCGGGGTGTAATCCATTTGGCGGAGAAGCGCCGCTAGATTTGGCGGCCATGGCCATTCCGCCAACTTTGGTGGTGATTGGGGGCTCGTGCCCTGGCCAGGACCGCCACGCACACTACGTGGACAAGCTGATAGCCGCTGGAAAGGAGGCCCAGAGCATATTCGTCCCAGGGGCCTGCCATGGCTTTTACTTGGCTCCAAAATTTCCTCATGCGAGGAAGTTTTGCGAGGACATAGCAACATTCGTGAAAATTCGAGTTGCAAGCTCGTGAAAACTTCGATGGAATGGATTTTTTTTTTCTCAAAACCGAGTACTAAGATGAAGAACACTAAAAAATGGTCAGTAAAAGAGGTGCTTTTATCGTTACCTTAGCATCGCCGGCTGGATTATTAAAACTCTCCAAAACTTTGGTCTTCCAGAGACAAAAAAACAGACTTACTTCAAGCCTGGATCGCTCTGGTAGAAGACAACATCGCCGTCGTCGGCGACGAACTGGTCTTCCTTGAGGCTCTTGCTTAGAACCTTGAACAAATGGATCGGCACTGGTCCGGACGTCTCAGGGTCCCTGTAGTATTTCCCGAGAATCGGCTTTATGGCTTTAGTCTACACAGGAAATTTGAAAAGAACGTTAATCGATGACCCTTGATACCACTCAGAGAAACTTACGGCTTCGATCAAATGGTAGTGTGGAATCTGCGGGAACAAATGATGCACGACATGCGTTCCAATGTCGTGGTGAATGTTATTGAACAATCCATAGTCTCGGTCTATAGTTGATAGGCCGCCTCGGATGTAATTCCATTCCTGAGATGTAAAAGAGCTCGTTTGAGAGAAATGAATCCTCAGAACAGGAAAATACTTGTACCTTCCCACGATACCATGGTACTTTCTGGTAGTGGCCATGGTGGTGCATGTAAGTAACACCAGCAATCCACATTATCTGGATCTGAAAATGATAAAGAAACGAAAAGTTAAAAACGCTAGAGTTCTACACTGGATGGCATACTCAAGAGCGTACAGGACTTACCACGTAAGGAACAAAGTAGAGTTTCAACATCCAGAGTGGCCCGATTCTTATCGTCAAGGCGATCAGGATGGCTAACATGACCGTCCAACACGCGGTTGACGTCAAAACATCACCCCTCTCACTGGGCTTGAACAAGGGGCTCTCTGGATGGAAATGAGAACCATCCTTGCCAGGAGTTCTTTTCACCTACAAGCACAAGAAGGTGTCAAGCTCGAACAATGGAGAATAAACAAATCCTTACGAGATAGAACGGGAATACCAACAATGGCCACGGCAATTGGAACCGTGCAACAAGCTTCAGTGGAGGAGACGACTTATACATGCTCTCGGTCATCTGAAAAAACCATGAAAATTTTGAAAATTTGCAAGCTCAGAACGGCTTACAGGTGACCAGGACTCGTCATTGTCTGCGTGACCGTGATTTTGATGATGAGTTCTGTGGCTGATTCTCCTGCGAGGCCGGGGAATCAGTCATGGGGGAGGACAAAAACAGGACAAGAGAATCTGATCACTCACCACCCATGATACGGGACCAAAATAAACGAGTGGACAAAATGTCCTACGACTGTGTTCACGTCCTTGTTGTCAGAAAAGCTTCCGTGTCCACTGCATAGAAAAAGAATTCATAGAGTAACTTTCACGCAAGTTGCTCAAGGGAAGTAGAAGACAAACTAGAGACATGTTCTAAGTCACAAAAAACGCAAGAAATAAAAAAACAAAAAATAAAAAAGCACGCACGCAAACGTACACAGAAAGTAAAAGAAAAAATAAGTATCGAGCGCGAAATCCAAGAGAAAGGGAACTTCGAGGTATTCAGGTGAAAGAATCGCAATGCAGGGCACCAGAAATCCAAGAGCAAACCAAAGAGACAAAATTCTCACCACTGCCGTGCAATGAAATCCAATGCGAGTCGATGGAAATGGAAGCTTTTGCTTACCAGTCGTGGCCGATGACGAAGAGCGCCCAGAAGAGCGTGCCTTGCGCGATCCAATACGCGGGCCAGACGAGCCAGTGATCGAAATATCCGGCAACGCAGGCCAAGATCGCGACGCCCGCCAGATCCCTGGCCAGGAAGCTCAAAGATCTGCCCAGGCTCTTGTTCCAGCAGTGGCTAGGGATGGCGGCGCGGACCTCGGCGATGGTGAACGGCGGCGGCGCTGATGGATCAAACCCCTTGGCGCCGTCGTCCGCCATGGATCGATCGATGGAATCGATCTAATGGCGATCGATCGGATCGCAAGAGCCGCCACCTGGATTGCCGCCAAGAAAAGAAAGAAAGAGCGCTGTATAAAAGCTTCTAGGGAACCCGTATCGCATCTCTCCACTGGCATTCTTTTATATTTATAGGTAGGCTCCTCCTGATCAAACGAATCTTTCGAATGGGACTCTTTATAAAGATCAAACTCTATATGACATTTCTGGAGAAAAGAATGCTTTTTGCGTGTTTTCTTTTTTGTTGGCTTCGCATTTTCGCCAAAAAATGATTTTTTCATTGTTCCTCTTTAAATGGAGTCCCGCTGGTAGAAGACAATGTCGCCTTCATTCGGCACAAAATGGTCCTCCTCGAGGCTCGACTTAAGAATTTTGTACAAGTGCAAGGGAAGCAGACCAGATTTTTCTGGTTCCCTGTAGTATTTTCCCAGCACAGGCTTTATCGCTTTGGTCTACACCAAGAAAACAAAAAAAAAAAGAAAAAAGAAAAAAGAAAAAAAGAAAAAAGAACCACGATTAGCTCGTTCCGAAGCAAAAAAGCGCTAAGATGAACTCACAGCTTCCACCAAATTGTAGTGAGGAATTTGAGGGAACAAATGATGCACGACGTGAGTGCCGATATCGTGGTGGATGTTGTTGATCACTCCGTAGTCTCTGTCTATGGTGGAAAGTCCCCCTCTCATGTAGTTCCACTCCTAGAGTTCCAGCATAAAGAGCCTTGAAAAAAAACAAAAAGCTTGCACAGTACCTTTCCTCTGTACCACGGAACCTTGACTTCGTGCCCGTGGTGATGCATGTAAGTCACAGCATCCAGCCAAACAATATTGATCTGCGGTCACAAGCATCAAGCGATTGCGTAGAACTCTGGAAAACTTACCAAGTAAGGTACGACGTAAAGCTTGAACATCCAAACGGGGCCAACAGCAGCGGTCATGGCAGCCAGCAACGCCAACATCGCCGACCAGCACACTGTCGACGTTATCACGTCGTTTCTCTCGCTCGGGACGAAGAGAGAGCTGTCCGGATGGAAGTGAGAGCCAGTTTTACCCGGACTCCTCGTCGCCTGGTCGTGAGAAAGATTAGAAACGAGGCAAAGCAAAATGGAACTTCTAGTAATACCAGATAAAGCGGATAAGCAAACATGACCCATGGAAGCTGGAACCGGCCGAAGCGAGTAAAGATATCTGCGTCTTTGTAGAGCTTCTCGGTCATCTACATGAAGAACAGTGTAAGATAAGGAAAAACGAAATGGTTTTCACTTGGAAGAGCTTAAGGCGACTTACTGGATGCCAGGACTCGTCGTTCTCGACATGGCCGTGATTCTGGTGATGCGTCCGGTGGCTTATCCTCCTGGATTTCCACAAAGTTTAAGCTCTAAGCCAAACAAGAAATGGAAAAGCATACGTACCACCCGTGGTATGGAACCAGGATGGAAGAATGGAGAATGTGGCCGAAGACATGGTTAAGCTTCTTGTTATTGGAAAAACTCCCGTGTCCACTGATCAAAGACGCGTAAGAACGAGAAAGCAAAAACAAGTTTTTGGGAGAAGAAAAACTTACCAGTCATGGCCGAGCACAAAGAGAGCCCAGAACATCGTCCCTTGGGCAGCCCAGTAGAGTGGCCAGACGAGCCAATTATTCAAGTAAGCAGCACCAGCAGCCAGTCCGAGAACCACCGCTATGTCCCTCACGACATAGCTAATCGATCTCCACACATTCTTCTCCCAGCAATGCTTTGGAATGGCAGCTCTGATATCTCCCAGAGAAAATGGTGGTGGAGCAGCAGGATCAAACTCCTTGGAGAAGTCACCGACCACATCGCTTTGAGGAGCAGTGACAGTTCGGAGTGGAACAGCGACCATTGGAATGGATGGCGAGCTCGAGCCGGGCTTGAGCCTTCTTTTAAGAGCCAAGAGTGGAGAAAAGGAAGAGCCAAGGCCAGCGATGACACACGCTTGCTTGGGCGATCGAAAACTTAGCGATGATCTCGGCGTCTTGTAGCAAAGCTTTGAAGGCAAGGAGAGTGACTGCGAGGAACGGGGGAAAATCCCCATATTTTGCGAAGGAACCAGCACGCCTGCCATCACTCCACCGAAGAGCGCTCAACGAAAGCGAGAGCTCCACTGGTGCGTGACGAACAGGCAAAATGTAGAAACGCGATTTCCAAGGCTCGCAGCTGGCACACAAAAAAAAAACAGAGGTCAACGAATCTCCTGTCAAGGCCAGATCGAGCTAGAAATTCTCACCTTAGAGATGAGACTCCCAGCGCTCTCCCAGTCCCAATGTGGAACCCTACAACCCTAAATTCTACGCGCAGCGTGCCGCTGTGGATATGGCGGCTCCTGGCCACGCACTGGCACTGAGAAATTAGGGTTCTTCTTCGCGGGTGTGCGCTGACGTGGCTGGGCCGCCGCCCTTCAGTTGCGCGTACGGTATGTAAAACGTGCAATTATAAACTACCTTTATTTTATTTCTACTGCCTTTTTATATAGGGGTGCAAATTGATTTTCTTGTCACTGTTACTTCCTATAGTGGCCTCCAATCGAGATCTTTTTTTAGGGTTTGTCTACTTCTTAGATGCATTTTGATTGATCACTTTTTGTCCCTGGAAACGATCGACCCCCAGGATGAACAATGAATGAACGACAACATTAGTTAAGAGGAAAAAGGTAGTGTTTCGAGTTTTAGCTAAAAGGCCACTACCTCTTTAAAACCAAATTTATATTTTGACTAGTAAAACAATAAATTCAAGAGATTAACAATAGGAATAGCGGATAGCATAGTGGGGTGAAAAAGCAGCACGTTCAGATACTTCACTTTGTAAGTGGGCGTACCAAGGGACCAGAGATTTTTCCACATTGTCTACAGACCATGCAAATAAAATCAAATTCTCTCTCAACCTTGTCAAATCATCAGGAGAGATTCCAAACGCGATTGCTTACTCCAAGCTTTCCTTTTTCCATTGTTTGTATTGCTCTAGGAGATTGTCCGGTGTTGACAGTCTCTGGCGATTTGATGTGTGCCTGAATCACACATGCTGTCAATAACAACACACAAGGAACTAAACAAGATTAGTTTGGAAAAAAAAAGCCCCAAGTAAACTATCTTACCTGCATGTATGATTGATGGAACTTTGCATAGTAAACTTTGTCTTTGAAAGGTCTCGTCACGGCTTTTGCTTTAGTCCGGTTTGGACCGCGTTTACTTTACGCATCCCCTCTGACTTCCACTGTGGGACAAATCATTAGCAAGAAAAACATAAAGGACGGAACGTCTGTGTAAAAAAGAACCTTTTTTTCTTCCGGCTTCTTACATCTGAGCCTTGCCTTTAGTTCTCAGCGCTTTGCATGCTTGCACAAGGCGAGGCAACACCTCGCCTGCGTTTCCGCGCAGCATTACATGAGCCAAATGAGAATTGGCAGGGCTGGGATCACAAATGACAATTGTTCCTTGGTTGGATTTGCAGAGCTGCACGAGGCTGTTGGCGGGCGAGACCTGCTCGGACGAAAAAACGAAAACATGAAATGAGAAGTTCAGCTCAAACAACACAAAAGCATCCATGGTGCCTACCACAAGAGAAGTTCCGATCACAAGCATCACCTCCGCAAACATTGCCAATCGTAGCGAGCCTTCCATCACAGAACTTTGTAAAGGCTCGCCAAAGAGGATCGCGTCCATTCTTAAAACTCCTCCACAACGAGAGCACACCGGAACACTCTGCAAATGTACAGTGTAAGAAAAAGCTGGGAAAAAAAGAGACAAGTTTGTTTTTACTTTTCCGGAGTTCAACTGATCCATCGCCTCCGAGATTGGTACCTTGCTCCTACAAGCCATGCACGACGCAGTTGATCCATTCCCGTGCAGCTCACGTACTTTGTTGCTCCCTGCACGCTACAAAGATTTCCCAATTGGTCGGATACGAGAAGCAAAATAGAGAAAGAGAAAAGGAGAGAGATGATCCCAAGTACCTGGTGCAAGTTATCTACATTCTGCGTTATAACATGTTTCAAATATCCCATACTTTCAAGCTCGGCAAGCGCATAGTGCGCGGGATTGGGCTGAGCTTCTGCCATTGTGCTTTGCATGTCCACTGCCATCTTCCAAAAGAGCTCGGGCCTGAACAGAAAAGCAAACAAAAAAAAAAATGTTAGAGAAGAAGCTAGAAAGTAAAACTTCTTTTCTCCAGCGCTTACTTTTGTTTGAAAACAGAATAGTTACAATACACCTCGGGATCATACTTTGACCACAATCCCCCGCTGCTTCGAAAATCCGGAATTCCTGGCGGCAATTCATTGTTAGAAAAATCCCTCTCGAAACAAGCATTGAGCAATGCGCCATCTAAGACGAATGAAATAACCCGCATTGTGAGCTAGATCGCCGCATTCTTACCGGATTCCACCGAAATTCCAGCGCCAGTGAACGCCACCACCGAGGACGCATTGACGATGAGATCGGCGGCCTTGCGCAGCGCCTCGTCGAGCTCCATTCCCCCAAGAACCCTAAGAAAGCCCTAGCAGAATGCCCACGACCGTCCACGTGTCCAGATGGTCCACGTCTGATGGTGACGTGGAAGGTTAAGGACACTCTTCTTTTAAGTCTCCCTGTGTAAAGCTGATCCCCCGCTTACATCGTGTCGTGGCGATGGCGATGGCGATGGCAATGCCAATGGAGGTGGAGATGGAGATGGAGCGCGGCAGCGCTGAAATTTGCAGCGGCGGCTCCTCCTCGGCGCTGCTAGCACCGAGCGTCAGCGATGGGGGCGTCGCGGCGCAGTGGTCGGAGATGCTGCCGGAAGCCCTGGCCAGGATTTTCGCTGTTCTTCCGCTCGAGGAGCGAATGCGGAGCGTCCCCGTGGTTTGCAAGGCGTGGCGCAAGGCGGCGATGGATCCGACGTGCTGGAGGGTTGTGGATTTGCACGAATGGAGCCGGCTCATGCCCTGGGAGGTAATCCACAGGATGGTCCAGCTCGTTGTGGAGCGCAGCGGAGGCGGCCTCGAGGAGCTCTCGGTCTGTCGGCTCGCCAACGACGAGCCAGTGGATTACATCGCCAAGAGGTTCTTTCTTTTTCTCCTCTCTTCTTTCATTGACTTGTGTGTTCTTGTGTGTTCTTGGGTTTCTTTAGCTTGTTTCTTTGCTCTTTGCTTTGCTAGTGATTGTCTCGCAAAAAACCAAATTCCGTTAGGTCTCTGGCGTTGATTTTTCTTTAGTCCGATTGCTCATTGCATAGATAACGCTTCCCGGTGAGATACAAGCAAACGGCCCTGACCTCTTCCTGGTTCGTTTGAGTCGCTTTGCATGGAATTTGCATGGTTTTGTAGGAACCAGCAATGGTTTTTAAAGAAACTTCTCTCTGCCAGGGCCTGGATGCTATTGACATGAATGGTTTTCTATACATTCTTTGGCCTTGCAGGGGTCATGGGTTGAAAGTTCTTCGCATACCATTCTGCCAAGTCACGGACGGCTGCATTGCCAACATCGCCCCCAGCTTGAGCAGGATAACTCACTTGGACATCAGCGGCTGCACAGCGATCTCCAAGACGGCGCTCGCGCAGATCGGCCGCTCCTGCAAGTCGCTCGCGCGCCTCGACCGCAACATGTCCTTTTTCTTCCAGACCAACAACTTGGTGGCCGAGGAGTATGACGACGAGGCGCTGGCCATCGCCGCACACATGCCGCTGCTGAGACACCTCGAGCTCTGCTACGGATCGCTCACGAACTCGGGGCTGGCCGCGATACTGGACAAGTGCAAGAGCCTAGACTTTCTCGATCTGAGGGGCTGCATGAACTTGACGATCGACGGGGCCATGGCGGAGCGGTGCCGGAAGATCAGAGTCATCTACAACATCAAGTTCAATGACCAGTTCCAGATGCTCGACCTGTACGACGACATGTCCGACGTGCACTACTCAGACGATGGCTGGGATATCGAGGAGTGGTACTCGAGCTCGGATGAGATTGACGATGTTCTACCCTGCGAGATGTGGTGAGCGACGGGGGGAGAGCGAGTGCGGCAGAAGCAGCGCTCGCAACGAGGCTCTCCAGGCTTTAAACTCGTCTATCAGGGAGGACACACAGGACAGGAAAAACACACATAGCTATAAGCTATCTTACAGGACTCAGGCAGGGTTCAGGGAGGAGGGGAAAGGACTTCCTCCTTGGTTGTAGAGTTTTTATTTTCTTCTTTCTTCTGCTAGGTGCTGCTGCTGCTACCGCCGCCGCTGCTCAGCTCGAAGTTATGGCTCCCTCTCTGTGCGATATCTCCTTGGAGCGGTATCCAATTCAGGTACCCGATTCAAAGCTCTTGAGAAATTCGCAGGTTGTCAAGCAGGATTGATTGACACGGGGGGGAAGTATAGCTAGAGAGGAAAGAAACTCTCAAGAACAGTGCCTCTCGCAGTTTGGAGGAGATAGATGATCATATCAGGGAAAGCCAAATCCGGCTTTGGCGGAAGAATCGAAGATGGAGTAAAGACAGACAAAAGAGTCCACAGGAAGAAGAAAATTCAATCCAATCAAATCAAACCAAGTCCCTGGCCGTAAAGGAAAAGCCCATTCTTTTTTTCTTTCTTTTTTGTCTTTCTCACACACCCTGTTGTAATATGAAATAGCTTACCTCTTTTCTTTTTTTTTCTCTCTAAAATTTTTGTTTGTACTGAAAGCTCTCAGGACAGGGAAAATCTCCGTAGAGCGGATTTGTACCGTGTGGTTCTGGGAAAGCTGTGCAGTGGTGTAAGTTGGAAAGAAAAATGTGTGTGAAACGATGGTTATTGGCCCCTGATAGGTGGCTATAAAAGACTAGGGTTTTATGACCAGTGTCCCTTCGTGGAAGAAAAGTTTTGCGTGTGACTTTGGAGTCCTACATTTTAAGGGCCGCCACCTTTCCTAGACCAGGGTGGTTTCCTTTACCTGACAGACAGAGATGCATTGATCCGGGGCTCGAATCTCGTGAGCACTGGGATTCGATTCGCATCCTCGTGTAGATTCTTCCAAGGTTGAAAAGAATAGTCTTTTTACTAAATTTTTGGGTGGCTACGTGCGCGATGTGGAGCCAGGGGACATGATGCCACTACTTTTGTTGTGTTACTGGATCCTTCTATATGCGTGGAATGAAATCGATCTGATAGGCGTCGTGCCAGGATTCGAGCTCTGGACGTGGCCAGCCAGTTGGATAGCGTCAAAACTTTCCCGCGCAGCGCTGTCCGCCCATCGGACGGCAGGGGCAGCCTGGATTCTGACGAGGGGCCAATCGACGGCGGGGATGGCACTGGTGCCCTAATATAACATAACATTGGATGCCCACGTGGCGGGGATGGGAGCGTTGGATACTGGAATCCTAGGGCCGGGCATGCGATGCTCGGATTTTCTTCCAGCAACAGAGGGAAAAAAAGAATTTATGCGTTTTGCGTCGTCAGGGAATGCGGCAGTGATGTGAGCGCCTTCCTCGACCGGATCGCCCTCCAAGATCGGTGCGCGTGTCGGATCTCGCGCGCTAGCTCCAGCGAGCAGCTTCGCGGAGTGGATCTCTCCAGCGCCGCGCTCAATCGGTGAGTTCTTCATCGTCCAAGGGTTTCGACTGGGATTGCGGCGGGGCGATCCCTAGGCGGCAGGGTAGCATCCGGATTCGATTCACGGTCGAAATTTCGATCGGCGATCTGTGGGAGCTGGTACATGAGGGATTGGATTATCCATGGTCCGGGATAGATGCACAGCGCAGGCGCGATTAGAGAATGTGGCCCGCGGCTATTCCGTTTTGCTGGGAGATTTGGGAGGGACAGGGATTTCCTCGTCGGGCCAGCGGAAGAGAGTGACTGAAACACGTCCGCGAGGATTGGATTGGGGTTTGAGAGGCAAGATCAGGTGGGCGATATAGAATCATGGCTCTACGCAGCACGCTAGAGGAGATTTTGGAATCGTTGAAAAGATCGGATGAGAAGCCCAAGGATTTCCCTCCGGCATTGCCTCAGCGGCCAACTTCCAGAGGTCGGCTACCCTCCTCCTTACGTGGTGGTAGAAAGAGTTTGGATGGTATTATCCGTCAAGCAACCGCGACAAAGCCTGTGGAAAGTAGCAATGAGCAAACACCGGCGATCCACGAAAATGGCAATGGAGTAGAGCACAAGGATGGCAATGACACTGGCGTGGAGAGCAAGAACAATGGTGTTGATTCGTGCATGGACGTAGAAACACAGCATGAGAAGAACGAGTACGATCTCGTGGAAAGAGATTCAGCTTATGAGACAGCTGAGGATCTGGTTGGCGAGGACGGGGACTTGACAGAAGAGAAGGCGATTCCCGCCGTTCCAGTGGCAGCGATTGTGGAAAGCAGGACAAATGCGCGCAAGCGGTGGAGGGAAGACGCTTTGAAGAAGGTGAGTATTTCCTTTTTCCTTTCTCCTTTCCTGTATGAATTATTTAGTTTTCTGGCAGAATTCACGAGTCTGGTGTAGATCCACAGAAGGAGAATGGATTCTGGGAACTCTTCAAGCTGTCGGAGATGCGAGTCCTGTCATTTCTGTTCTGGATGGACAGGTGAGTCGGAGATATTATCATTGTACTTAATAAATTTTTTATTTTTTATGCAGGTTATAAAAGCGGAAACATCCATGGTTCTTCCCGCTAATCCTGACATTCTCGAAGGGATAGATGATCTTATTCAACTGAGCTACTTGAACGAACCAGCAGTTCTTCACAATTTGAAATACCGCTACAGCCAAGGTTTTATTTATGTGAGTTGATTCTCGTATTCTCGTTTCTCTTTTCAGTTGATTGGCTTATAATGGTATTTCTTATTCATACAGACCAAAGCCGGACCAGTTCTTATCGCCATCAACCCATTTAAAAAAGTTCCAATCTATTCATCCGAGTATATTGACATGTTTCGACAGCTTGGTTCTAAAGCCGGTCTTAGTCCTCACGCGTATGCTACTGCTGACAGTGCTTACAAGGAGATGATAACAGGTATAGTGGTAGTTTTGATCTTGAATCTGAGAAGGTAAAACTTATTCTGATTTCAGCTGGACTAAATCAATCCATTATCATCAGGTAACGATTATCTACATGTATTTTACTGGTTTTCTTATACTTGCAATGCTTGCAGTGGTGAAAGTGGGGCCGGCAAAACTGAGACTGCGAAGATTGCAATGCAGTATTTAGCTGCCCTTGGAGGTGGAGGAGGTGTGGAAAATGAAATACTGGAAACTAATCCGATTTTGGAAGCTTTTGGGAATGCAAAGACACTTCGCAATAACAATTCTAGTCGTTTTGTGAGTGAGCGAAAATTTTACACTATTTTAACTGATTCTGTCAATTGTTGTGCAGGGAAAGCTTATTGATATTTTTTTTGATAGCGCCGGCAAAATTTGTGGTGCAAAAATTCAGACGTGTAAGTTTTTTTACTCTATCCTCGCATTTTTTGTTATTTGTAATTTCTAAGCTGCTTTTGGTTCTTGCAGACTTACTTGAGAAGGTAACAAACTTCCTCTATTCAAAACAGTTGCTAATCTTAATAATTTGCTCTAAAGTCTAGAGTCGTACATCAAGCACCAGGTGAAAGGTCATACCATGTGTTTTACCAGCTATGTGCTGGGGCAGATGCTGGCATGCGAGGTACATCATAGTTTTTTCAGGTGGAAGCATGTAACATATTTCGTGTGTGCAGATCGTTTGAAACTAAGACATGCCTCCGATTATCATTACTTAAATCAAGGGAAATGTCTTGCTATTGAGAACGTCGATGACGCAGGACAATTTCACCGTATGCTGGTTAGCTTTCAAAATAACGTGTTTTTCTAGTCTTCTAAAACTTTTCTGTTTAGAATGCGATGAACACTGTTCAAATAAATCAAGAAGATCAAGAAAAGGCGTTCAAAATGCTCGCAGCGGTACTTTGGCTGGGAAATGTTGCATTTTCCATCATCGACAACGAAAACCACGTCACTGTAACCAATGACGAAGGTGAGAAGACTATTTTATGCATCGATATTTCTTTTACTGATATCCTTAAGGCAGCTATTCAAGTGGCAGCATCTTTGCTGGAATGTGGTGCTCTTGATCTTATTCAAGCACTCTGTACTCGAAAGATCCGTGCAAGAAATGAGGACATTGTGCAGAAGCTCACTTACCCACAGGTCAGGTAGCTCTTCTAGCATTGAAATGTACTTACAAGACAGCCTTTTTTTCAACTCAGGCTGTTGACGCGAGAGACGCTTTGGCGAAGGCTTTATATGCAAGCTTATTCGATTGGCTGGTAGAACGGATAAATATTTCAATGGAAGCTGGCAAGAAGCGGACTGGAAAAACCATCACCATTCTAGATATCTACGGTTTTGAGTCCTTTCAGGTCGGTGCGCTCATTTTAGTTTTCGCGATTTTACTGAGTTTTCTACTGCAGAGTAATAGTTTTGAGCAACTTTGCATAAACTATGCAAATGAAAGATTACAGCAACATTTCAACCGCCACCTGTTCAAACTCGAGCAAGAGGTAGAAGTTTTTGCGCTTTTCAACGAAGTAAATAATCTTGTAATTCAGGAGTATTCAGCAGAAGGCATTGATTGGACGAGGATCGAATTTGTTGACAATCAAGAATGTTTAGACTTGATAGAAAAGGTACTTTCAATTCCCGTCGGTATCAATCCCCGATCATTCTCTTCTTCAGAGACCACTTGGGCTTATTTCTCTGCTCGACGAGGAATGCACATTTCCACAGTCAACTGAGATCTCATTGGCGATGAAATTGAGCAAGCATCTGTCAAAGAACAGTCATTTTAAAGCTGAAAGGGATACGGGATTCACCATTCGTCATTATGCTGGAGAGGTAAATTCTTGTAGTTCTTTCCTGACGAGGATTGACTCTTTCTTCAGGTAACATACAGTACATCCGGAATAATGGAGAAAAATAGGGATTTACTTCACACAGATATTCTTGAGCTTTTGTCATCGTGTAAGAGCTCGCTAAGTCGTGCATTTTCTGCAAAAAAGGGCGAGGGATTTAGAAAAGAATCGCAAAAGCAAAGCGTGTCAACAAAATTCAAGGTGGTGTATCTTAGAGGCTTAGTGTTACTGAATTTTTCTTTCTTTTCAGGGTCAATTGTTTAGGCTACTACAGAGGCTGGAAAATACGTCCCCGCATTTTATACGTTGTGTAAAACCAAACGCCTATCAACTACCAGACAATTTTGAACAAGATCTTGTACTTCAACAGCTCCGCTGTTGTGGCGTTTTAGAGGTAGTGAGAATTACAAGGTCTGGCTATCCTTCGCGTCATTTGCACCAGCACTTCGCTGACAGGTATTTTCATATTCTGCCATTCACTTGATAGCCTTGGCTCTGAATATTTTCTTTCAGATTCAGAATCATGCTCCAGAAACAGGCTTCCGATACTCGTGATGCTTTGAGTGTCTGTATTTCTATATTGCAGCACTTCAATGTGTCCCCAGAGACATACCAAGTTGGTCTAACAAAGCTGTTCTTCCGCTCTGGCCAGGTATTTGACTGCTGGTTTGTGTTCCTGCTCTAACATTCTATAAAACTGCAGATTGCAGTGCTAGAAGAGAAAAGAACGCGTACGATGAACGGTATCGTTGGCGCTCAAGCTTTGTACAGAGGTTACCGAGCTAGACTGTACTTCAAGCGTTTGCGTAGATCAACGGTTCTATGGCAATCTCGTAAGCCTCGTTTTGTCCACACTATTTTGTCACTGTGCTCACTTGTTTGACATGCAGTGGTCAGAGGGATGCAAGCGAGAGCTATGTTCAAGAAGCTAAAGCAAAGACACCGTGCTGCTATATTCATCCAGAAGCACGTGAAGGGTATACTTGCTCGTGCGTCTTACAAGGACTTGTTACGAAGGCACCATGCTACTCTTACAATTCAAAGGCATTTCAAAGGGCTCGTTGCAAGAAACGAATTAAGGAGATTAAAACGACGAAACGTAGCTGCTGTCACCATTCAAAAACGAGTTAGAGGCACCCGGGAAAGGAGGCGTTATACGAGACTGAAGCAGCAGAACCAAGCAGCGATCTCTATTCAAAAACATATCAAGGGCCGTAAATCCCGAAGGAATTACAAGCAAAAACAAGAGAGAGTTATTCGCGTCCAGTCAGGTAAACGCATGCTATCAATTCTACGTGTACTTTTTGTTACAAGGCTCTGTTCCTCAGTTACGAGGAGGTGGCTGGCAAAGAGAGCTTATAATCTTCAGAAACAACAACTGAGTTCCTCTTCAAAGGAAATCCCTGTACAGTCGGTAGAACAAAGCATTGTAGCGGAAAATGTGGCAGTAAAAAGCGCCAGCGACAACCAGAAGGTATGGAGTTCCTTTCTCTCTTTTTCTTTTGTTTGCCTGTCCTCGTTTTTCTTTTGACTTTTGATGACATGCATGCTCCTTGCGTGCGCAGATCGTGGATGCTGGTCACGAGAACAGAGCACTGGCAGCGGAGCTCTTAGCATGGAAGCAGCGCGCTCTTGTAGCGGAGCAAGCGGTGTGGGACAAGGACGTGGAGAACGCGGCAATGGCCCACAAGCTCCAGCAGTACGAGCAGCGGTGGTCCGAGTACGAGGCCAGGATGAACGCCATGGAGGAGGTGTGGCAGAAACAGATGACGTCCTTGCAGCAGAGCCTTGCGGCCGCAAAGAGGAGCCTCACCAGCGAAGATCCCGTCCCTGTCGCGCTCCCGGCGAAATCCGACGACTCCGTCCAGCAGCAAAACTCGAACTTTAGCAGGGATCGAGCTTCCCGGCCGGTGCTGCCAGCGGAGGAGCTCGAGTGGGAGGAATCCGCGACGTCGGTGACGCCCGAGCCGGGATTCATCACCGCCAGCACCACGGCTACTTCGAACCAGACTTCGTCGGACAACCACAGTAACTTCCCGCGAGATTTCGACGCTGGGAAATCGGTGGTGGGGCAGCTGGTGAAGGAGTACGAGCACAGGACGCAGGTTTTCAATGACGATGCCGATTTCTTGGTGGAGGTGAAGTCGGGCCAAGTGGAGGCCAACTTGAGCCCGGAGGACGAGCTCAAGAAGCTCAAGCACAGGTTTGACGTGTGGAAGAAGGATTTCAAGGGGCGATTGAGAGAGACGAAGGTGATACTCCAGAAGCTGTCTCATGTGGACGAGGAGAGATCCAGGAAGCACAAGTCATGGTGGAGCAGCAGAAGAGCTAACCAGTAAATAAATAATGAATCATAAAGAGAACAATGTAATCTTCTTGTTTGGAAGAAGAATTTAAAAGATTTTGGTAAATTTGTGGAATCCTTGTGGTAGTTGCCATAAAGTCTATGATGTTACACCACCATAACTAGTTTTTCTTTTTAAGTTAAAAATTAATTAATTAGTTATAATTAAAAATAAAATAAAAACACTACAGGATTTAAAATGTCAATCTATTCTATAATATATAAAAACAATGCTATCCTCTCTTGCAGTTGTAACATTTAGTAAAGAGGCCAACCTGATGCACTTGATTAGCTATGGCAACGATGTTCGCCCATAGCCCGAACCCGCTCATAAACAGCATCCACAACACAATGCCAAGGTTGATGCTCAAGATCGTTTCCCATCTTAGCAAAGAGAAGTGCTTGTCCACAATGCTCTGGAATATTGTCAATCATATACTAATGTAGCGAAGATAAAGCACAGGACTTACAGCTTCTGAGGCGCGCTTCCAAAACGTGAAGATGTAAGCGCTGCATGGAAGGATATACTGGCCCCAGGTTGCAAACAGGGCAACTGATATGGGAGTTGAAAGCCCGAAAAACGGGAATGCAAGAGCTGCCACCCATATCACTAGGAACACTGGAACCCTCACAAGGATGCGCTTTCCAAAGCTTGGCGAGTTGTGGACGTTGAAGAGCTTCTCAAAGATCAGGTAGATTGGCAGCGTGAACATGCCAAACACTACAAACTGTTCACAAACATTCCAGCTAAGCGGAGGGTTTTCCAAGGCTCTTGCCTGATGTAGAAGCAGGAGGATCACTGCAGCGTCACGGAAGATCGACTTTGGGAGTAGAGCTATGGCGTTGGCCTGTTTGAGGAGCTTATCCCCAAATCTCCAGAACAAGCTCATGGTGGGGATTAATGAGACCAATCCAGTGTAAACCATTCCAAAGAGCCACGGCAATTTGTATTCCTCTGGCTTCCACATCGCATCCATAATCTCCCTTAAAGAAAGCAGCTAGAATTCGATAAACGAAAGAAACTCTTTTGATACTCACACAGGGATGGCCTCCGTGCCCAAGGCTATGAAATTCGTCATAGGAATGAAGTACTCTGAGAACTCCCGAGGGGAAAACGGCCTGTTAACATCTGGAATCTAATACCACAAAGAAAGAAAAAATATTTGGGAGTTGAAGTTTCAATCGATCGACTTGCCTCTTTATGCACAATTCCTGCGATGATCAGATAGAATGCCGTGTATATAGTCGCGATAACACCAAGAAATGACCATGCTCGATAGTTTTGAGCCGATGGCGTAAACACTGACAAGGAAAAGATACCACCAAAGATCAAAGCCCAGGTTCTCTTGTCGAGGCTGTCATTCATGTAGAACACGATGCTGCCGGCACAAGTAGAAAATCATCTTGCTCACACCACACAATGTACTGCTCTTGGGAACTTACTTGCTGGATGCGAGAATTTCCACAGTGGCTATGGTGCCCAGTGTTCCAATGTTGAAAAAGAGTGATACTCGCTCCCACCATTTACCCATGAGGCCTCCCAGCACCTCGTGAAGCTATGTAGAAGAGCAAAGAGATGGAATTGTCCATCCATATAATAGAGAATCTTGGGACGAGATCACCTGAATAGTGTGATTGTCAAATCGATGCGGGTCTCGTTTCTGGGCGACTTTCTTGTATTCCAAGTAGAGAAGATTCGTGGTGTAGCCACTCCACCATCCAATGCAAAGATGTACAAATTGAACCACAATTGCAGAAGGCAGGCCTGCTTGTGCCCACGAGTGAGGAATCGTGAGAAGCAACTCTGCAATCTTTTAAGGAATCCCACCATGAGAATTAAACAAAGTAATATGAATCACACACCTTTGTGGAGCAAATGTTGAGCCAGGCATCGAATGTTGAGCCTCCATCCCAGAGGAGATTCCCCAGCCTCCCGCATTCCATCGCCATGTCCAAATGGGGTCACAGTCATAAACCTAGTTATTCCATTTTAGTTTTCTCTTTTCTCATCAATGGGAGGATACTCATAAAATATGATAATAGTTTTAAAATATTTAGAATAAATGCAGAACTTTCTATTTAGATATGTAGAAGGTAAATATATTCTTTATATTCTTCTCTTGATGTAACTATTAATTATTAACTGTTTGTTTTAACTTTACTACATTAATATTTTAATTGTTTTAAGGACATATAATAATAATATTTAACTTTGTGAGTGCTTGGAATATAGAAAGGGAATACAGAAAATGTGCATATCAATTAGCCCAAAAACCCCAATTTATATATAAAAGCGAGTGGTCCGAATTGAAACCAATCTAACGGCTACCAAAATCCCACTACACTAATATTAATATACGGCATCATAGCCGTACACTTGGCCCTCACATCATCCCCTCCTCTCAGAATAATGGAAGACTATCAAGGTTCTCTTGTAGACGGGCCGGGATCTGGAGGAACATCAGAAGGAGGCATCCGCAGATCTGTAAGTGGTATTAACTACTCCTGATCCCTTTCTATGAAGTGTTTCAATTGTTGCACATGCATAATCTTTGGAGGATCGGCTTGCTAGATGTCATGCCGAACCTCATAAACTTGTGGTTCAACTTGCCGCAACACCTGATACGGTCCTTTCCATTGCGTAAGAAGCCCCTTGGATAAACCACATACTATAAGATGGGGAAAAGGGTGTAAATGCCGAAAAGGCAAGTCATCAGCAAGTGATGTAGGATTCTCAAACCCATCTCGAAGCCTTCGAATCCACAGTTCAATTTTTTGAACCTCGCGAACCTCATCAAGCGAAGGTAGATTTTGCTCTACGCCTTGTGGACACTAAATGTCAAGTACAGCAACCGCCAATGGCACAAAATCCTCGTCTAGAAAATCCATAAATTCTGGAACAACAGGCTCGTCAAAAACATGAAAAGAGAATGGAGAAAAAAGAGGAGCTCGAGAAAGGGCATTAGTATCAGCCATAGAACTCCCTAGGCGATGAACAACATCAAAATCATATATTTGAAGCTTCAAAGCCCATCGAGCAGTACGACCAACCAAGTTCTTCTACTTCAATAATGAAGTAACAGCAGCATGATCACCTTCAAGTAACGTTTTAGAACCATGTAGATATGCATGAAGTTTCTTGAAACCCCAAACTGTTGCTAAACACTCCTTCTCTGTCGTGGAGTAGTTGATTTCTGCTAGTTGTAATGTATAGCTTATATACGCAATGGGATAGCACTGACCAGGCACACTCAAGCTCTCTTGCATTAACACATCTCCAAAACCAATGTCAGAAACATCCACACACAAAATAAAAGGTCAAGTGTAGTTAGGATATGCCAAAATTGGAGGAGTCGTCAATAGCTCTTTGAGATCCCCGAACGCCTGCTCACAATCTGGAGACCAAATGAAAGATGATGTTAATGACTTCAGCAACGCTCGCAATGGTGTAGTGCGATCAGAAAGATGATCCACAAAACGACTGAGATACTGTACCTTGCTCAAGAAGTGTTGTGTAAGGGACTAATTTTTCTATTCCACTTTAGTCACTTAACCATACCTTTGACCACTTGGAAGAGTCTCACTCACAACCTCCATAAGTCTTATTCTGGACTTAGGGTTAGCTAGCCCCAAGAATGCCATCCCTGCCACTCAACCTATGCACTTGGTCTAAGTGCTCCACATGTCCGATCCCATGACTGACACCCAAAGGTACCATTTTCTGCTACGGGCTTTGTCCACGGCCCAACTTTGCGACCCTCCCATATGTCTCTCGTAGACATTACTTCCTTGGACTTACTATACCATCATATTGGCACAACTGATTTCCCTTTAGGTGTCCTTCCCACTTGGTCACCTTGACCAAGCCACACCATTCTTAATAGTTCAACTCAACTTTGAACTAGGAATCATATTCCTTAACCCAAACAAAGACTTTGTCCTTGTTTAGCCACAAGATCACCTAGTGTCTTCATCTTAACCCCTTAACAGGTCTACTAATAGAGTCTTCCAAACCCTTTTAAATTGTTGACTATGACCCTAGGGGCATCCCCCACACTTGGCAGTGCGCCCAAGCCAGCCCTTCCGGCCAAGGATCCATAGCAACTGAGACTAAGTGTCCCCATCTCATTCACCACGTCTTTGGTGCCCTTTACACCAAAGTGTTCAAGTTAGATATGCCGAGCTTTCACTCTAAGCAATCTAACCGTGCATCACGACTCTAGGGCATCTCCTACTTGGCGGTGTGCCCAAACCAATCTCCTCATTGAGAGTCCATGACCACCAAAATATGAGTGTCCTCATATTCCAAACCATCACCATGCTCTAATGATTTGGGACTCGAACCCAACAACTAAAGGGTCGGGACTCAAACCCAACCTCTGCATATGCATTTATGAATGACATCACATAGGATGTTTGGTGTGACTCCCCACGCCGGTGCACCAATTTATATCCAAAGCATGCTACGGATAATAATTTAGGAATCTAGTCCTTTCAAATTGCCAAGTCCTCTCACTTGACAAATCTATGATCATGCATGGACTCCTCCATACTTGGCCCCATTGTAGCGCATGTGATCATGGGATGAGATTTGGATATACTGTCACTGTGGATCCTTGGAACTTTAGGGGATAAATGGGGATAAAATAGCCATTAAGGGCTCTCTTATCAAGCAATTGCCCCTTTTCCAGTTGGCTTAAGGGGAGAGAGATAAAGTGTCCTACAGTTGGTATCAGAGGAAATGGCACGGGTTTGATTTCTATTGATTAATGCCTACTTAAAAATATAATATACCCTTGAGCAAGGTATATTCCTACCCCTCAATTTGAAATCGTACGATTAATGGCTACTTAAAAGTATAATATACCCTTGAGCAAGGTATATTCCTACCCCTAAATTTGAAATCGTATGTATTGGGCATCCATGCGTATGTTCTTCCTCTTGTGTGGAGTATCCATGGACGAAGGTATCCACCGTGGGACTGCAGTACAAGTGGATGACTAGTTGCCTCACATGGAATAGCTAGTCTATACAATAGAAGGATTGGTAGATTCAATGCGGAAATGGAAGTTTCCGCAAGTGCTAGTTCCCCTTGTTCCCCTTGGCTCAGTAGGGGTTGCTAGTCAATAGTCAATAAGGATATTGACCTCTCTGAAGGGGGGGTGAGTGTAGCACATGTGATCATGGGATGAGATTTAGATATATTGTTACTGTGGATCCTTGGAACCTTAGGGGATAAATGGGGATAAAATAGCCACTAAAAGCTCTCTCATCAAGCAATTGCCCCTTTTCCAATTGGCTTAAGGGGAGAGAGATATGGTGTGCTACACCCATGGGCCACCCTTTTTTAAGTTAGCACCTTCAACTAGGGGATTCGTTCCCCTGACTTGCCACTCTCGCTTAGCAAGTCATCTGACCAATGTAACATGGTTTCATGCATAAGCGTGAAAGTCCTTAACCATCGACTTTCGTTCAAAGTCATCCTTTTGAACCTTTGGGAACTACTTCCCCAACCTTGATAGCATTGCCTTATAGCAAGCTTCAAGACCACACTTTTGTTGTGCCACTTTGATTTTGCACATTCTATGAACCATTTACACTTGGCTTTCTAGGTACTACGCTACCTAGAATTATCTTTGGGAACCTTGAAGGAACTCTGTCCCTTAGCTTGTTAAGGCCTCTCCTTTCGCAAGGTTTCTAATTGCCATATGGTCTAGCATGGACAATTCCATGCTTTAGACTCTTCATGGCACCACGGTTGCTAGTAACAACATGCTCGAGCGCCCATTTGATTCTCCACTCCCAACTGACATAACCACCCTTGGTTATGCTCTTCAATTCTTATGGTTTAGTTCTATCCCCTTACTACTTGCTTTTGGCCTCACACATTTCCTTCGGTTATTCGCCTCTAAACTAGGAGGATGGCTTTGCACTTTCTACCATGCCTTAGCAAGTATTCTTGGAGATGAACCTACCTGATAGCCTAGGGAGTGGTTCCTCAAATCGGGTATGCTCACTTTATAATCCCACATACCAGGATTAATGTTGCTACATATGGGCTTTTATATGCCCATGCCAAAATTCTATTTTTTGCTTTGTCTAATTCGGGTAGATGGATTTCTCCCGTCTTTGCAACCTTGGACGTTTGGATAGCATCTTCTATACATCATTTGCTAAGGACTTAGTCCCTTAGGCTTTATTTATTGCCCTTGCGACATCAAATAACACCTCCTGGTGTTCTAAAGTGTTTGGGTGTCCCAATGATGGCATCTTTGCCAATGAGCATTTCTTTTTATGATATTGACTTACTATATTAGCACATAAGCAATTTATTCCCCCCATAAGGGTATATCTAACTTCCTTATGCCATTAAGAAGTCTTGGGTAGCTATCTGCTACTAGTTTAACCGATTATTTTGCACTTTTTGCTTAGTTGCCTCATAGTTGTCAAGTCCTACAACTCATTACTGGTGCTTCCACACCTTCATCATTATCTGGGTCACCACACTCCAATTGCATGCCTTCCAACTTAGGCTATGCCATTCCCATTTCTATTAGAATTCGTTTGGGAAAGGGTTCACATGAACCCACCAACTCACCTTAAGGTATCACGCCTTGGCATATTCAGTATCTTCACACCATCGGCTGCACGAGCCTATCTTTATAACACTTCTTACTTGTGTCTAGGTCCTTGCTAAGACTAATACAGTTCTTTCTCATGCCAACTATCCGTTAACACTACGCCATAGAGTTTACTCACAACTTTGTGTCAAAGTTGTATTCTTTTGGGAACACCTTCCCCACAACTTTAGTATAGCACATTCTACCATTGATGAAATACTTACTGTTCTCATACTTGGATTTTATGATCCTCCCTAACCTTCGTGGGGCACAACACACTTCAGTCCAAATGCTTTTAGCGATCCCTTAGGCCAATTCCTTGACTCTACTTGAGTCATCTAGCATTTTTGGACTTTAAAA